GCAGGACCCCAAACACACTGTCTACATGTAACTCATAGTTATAATCCACCTGCATGAGGAGGTAGAGAGGACCCCAGCGTCATAGAGGGTTGGCTGTTATTGCAAGTATTTGTCCTTCTCCTGCAATAGCAAAGGGGCCCCCAATTTGTAGCTGGACACATGACTTTTCAGCCTACAGAATAGATGTGTTCACCTCCCCTGAAGGTAGAAATGGCCAGGCGACCAGGTGCTGCCCCTGCTCTGGCAGTGGCCACTTAGAACTTGGGGTCTGTGCTCAGTGCACTGAATTCAGAACTGCAAGGGACATTTGTGCCCCCAGATGAAGGTAGGGTGTGTGGTGACACATGTCCTTGGGTATAATTAGCAGGCTGTGTGGCCCAGCTGCCATCCATTCTTCAATGGTCCCAACCTTAGATACTTTTTAAAACTGCCTGGGTTTTTTTGTTTTTGTTTTGCTTTTTATAAAGTACTGAGGCCTTACATTTAATCAGAAACTTAATCATTAAAGCAGAATCTCTGGGAGATGGGTCCCAGACATCAGTTTTTTTAAATCAAACAAAAAATAATTCTCCCCGGTAATTCTGCAACCAGGGCTGAGAATCATCTCTCAAAGAATGCCCCTCTGCCATTTCCAATGGGAATAAGGTAAACATAGATGGGACACCCGGGGACCCAGAGAGGCCTCCACTAGAACCAGTGGTTGTTTGGATCACACTGGAGCAGAAGTGCCCTTTGTTGGTAGTTGTGAGTGGCTTGAGGTCACAGAGCTACTGAATAATGAAGTTATAAAAACTATGAACTTAGTCTTGTTAGGCTTTTATTAAAAAATGTTTTTATTATATTTTTTGCTGTGTTTATTTTTAAATTTATCTCTATTATTGAAAGTATTACATATGCCCCCTTTTCCTCCCCCATTGAGTCCTTCTATTCTACTCCCGCCCCTCCATCTCCCAGCACCTTCACAGTACTATTGTCTGTGAACATGGGTTATGCATATATGCATATAAATTCTTTGGTTAATCTCCCTTCCCCCCTCCCTCTGAGATTCATCAGTGTGTTCCATGCTTCCATGTCTCTGGATCTATTTTGTTCATTAGATTCCACATGTAAGTGAGATCATGTGACACTTGTCTTTCTTTGACTGGCTTATTTTTCTTAGCGTAATACTCTCCAGGTCCCTCCATGCTGTCTCAGAGGATAAGAGATCTTTCTTTTTCACAGCTGCATATTTATATAATAGTATGCCATTATATAAATGTACCACATCTTTTTTATCCACTCATCTATTGATGGGCACTTGGGCTGTTTCTACATCCTAGCTATTGTAAACTGCGCTGCTATGAATATAGGGGTGCATACATTCTGTTTTTCTGTGTTTTGTTTTGTTTTGTTTTATGGAGAGAGGAAAGTTGAGGGGGAGAGAGAGAGAGAGAAACATCAATGAGATAGAAACACTGATTGGCTGCCTCCTGCACACCCCTTACGGGGGATCAAGCTGGCAACCTGGGCATGTGCCCTGAATGGGAATTGTACTGGCAACCTATTGGTGCCTGGGATTATGCTCAACCAACTGAGCAACACTGGCCAGGTCTTGTTAGACCTTTTAACCCTAGAGCTTTTCAGACCATCTAATATAGTGGTGAACAACCTTCATTTGCATTTCAAACATTTTAAATTTTTGAAATGAGAAAAACCTATTGAGTTCCGTAGGAAAAAAAAGTACTTTCTTATGGCTGGGTTCAACTACTTAGTGAATAAAAGAAGGCTGAGGATAAAGGTGAAACCACCCAATGAGGTAAGTCTTGTTCCCACTTTACAGATGAAGAAGCTGAGGCTAAACAGGTGAAGTGACTCAACTAAGGCCCCATGCTGAGCATGTTCTCTGGACTGGTGTGGTGGACACAGCTGAAGAATGAGCCCACGCTTGGTTTCTCTTTCTTGTGGTTGTGGGAACTGCTCTCTGTTTGCAATGGAGGGTACTCTGCTGCTTCATGCTGAGGGCCCAGGCCTTGTCAGCCCCAAGCCTGCTAGGGGCCTGGTCTTCCCCTCACCCCCACTGGAAGGGCAGTGCTTTATAAGTCAATCCTCAGCCTCTACTCTGTGACTGTTCCTAACCAGCAGGAACCAGCCTGTGATCCAGCTTGGGGACCAACATTCTAAAACAGCTCATCTGCACTATGGTAGGCCTGGAAATGTGTTCTCTCTAGACACTTTGATTTCTGAGCTGAAAGGCTACACTGAACATAGCTTCTAGGCTATGCCACTGGCTGGCTGGTGGGGTAGGCTACCTATGGTGGTCTACAGCCAATTGTTACTCATCACAGATTAAACAGTTTCTTCCAAGACTTGCTTAGCATGTCATTTAGTCTTAAGGAAAGATCTATGGCTTTGAAGCTAATGATTCAAGCAGAGAGTGGCCCAGGCCTTTGGCGTCTCTGGCTCATTTTGGTGATTCCCTGGCCTTTTTATTTATCAGAGAAGCAAACTTTTTAGTTCTTGTTTAGTAGTAGTTCAATAAACTCTTGAAGGATTTTACTTCTTGAATGCATTTGTACCCACACTGTCCTGCAAAGTGCTTTTTGTGAATATAAATCCTCAATAATATTTGTGGATTAAAATAGAAGCTGTTGGTTGGGGGAAAATTCTTTTTTTTTGGTTGGGAGAAGTTTAAATTAGCACCTAAGAATTCCATTTATTCAGAATAAACATTCTTGTTACTGAGGATAACTAAAGTTTTAAAGTCTTTTGCATGACTACTTACGTTCAGCCTTTTCCTATTTCTGTCAAATTATCACTTCTAACCAACCAGTTACTCTATCATCAGATTCATTATAACCTTCATTGTTCAGGCTGTCTTCAGAACTCTTTAATAACTAGACAACAAATCATGTGCTTTATTGATTCCTGAGGGTTTGCCAGACTTAGGGACTGTGTTCTCTACAATGCTTTCCATTCTGTGAATTATTAAATTTCTTTCATAAACTTCATGTAATTTTGTTCAAGTCATAATTGTCTGAAAAAAAGTTTATACTGATGAGTTGAAAATTTAAATCTTAAGCTCTGATCTCTCCCTTATTCTTACTCAGTATGTCCGCTGAAATGCAAATAGGAATCTGGACCTAAACATGTCTAAAATGGAACTTATGATTCTGCCTGTCCAATATCACCCCAAATCTACTCTCTTCTCCATCTTCTTCACTCATTTAATGGAGCCATAGCCAAGACACAACTTAGGAAAAGTTCTTGATTTTTCTTTTTTCTCACCACCTCTATCCTGACAGCCAATCCATGAGCAAATGCTTTCAGATTTGCCTCTAAAATAAGGAAAACTGACCTCCACAATAAATAATAAGTTGGGATACCACCATCTCTTGCCTAACCCACTACTAAGCTTTCTAACTGGTTTTCCAGTTTCTAGTTTTCTCAGTTAGCTCTTAGCAGGATATAGACAGCACACTCAATTGAAGTTCCTCTCTCTCTCTTTAATGTTCTCTGAAAACCCCATTGACTGAACACAACTAGAAGCCAGAGGGTAGACTCTATCTAGGTCAGCCTCCTGGACACAGGTGCAGAAGGTAGAGAGTGGATCTAGAGGAGCAATGGAAGATATCGAGCATTTCACCTTATTCTCCTGCAGTCTATTCTCCACAAGAACGATGTTTTCAAAGCATAAATCAGCTCACATAATTCCCCTGCTTAAAAACCTCCAATGACTTCCCCTGGTGATTAGAATAAAATTTCAACTCCTCTAACGTGGCCCTGCAAAGCCCTACATGTTCTGGTCCCTGCCCTGATGAAACTTTGAGACTGTCTAACTCAAATCCTTCCAACTTCATGCATTCATTCCACACAAAGTGATTAAATACCAGTGATGGACCAAGCCTGGTTCTAGGTTTTAGCAGGGAATAAGAAGCCCTGCATAACCTCTCTCCAGTTTCATCTCATACAACTCTCCTTCTTCCTTGCATATTCCAGCCACAGTGTTTTGATTTTTGCTGTTGCTCCTCCAATGCCAAGCTGTTTCTTTCACAGGGCCTCCACACTTGATTTTTTCTCTACTTGGACTAATCTTCTCTTGCATCTCCCTGTGGCCGAGAATTTCTAATCATTCAGGTTCAATTCCATTCTCACCTGCTTAGAGAGGCCACCCCTAACCTCCTAAGCTAGAGCAGCCAAAGCAGTCTCTATCCTATAAACCTCATTTTACTTTAAAAAATGTTTATTGATTTCACAGAGGGAGAGGGAGAGAGAGAGGGAGAGGGAGAGGAAGAGAGAATCCTTGGCATATGCCCTGACTAGAATAGAACCATGACCTCCTGGTTCATAGGTCGATGCTCAATGACTGAGCCACACCGTCTAGGCTTACTTTATTT